TCAAAAAGTCATAATCACTACATTTCTCTGCGATTCCGAACGCAACAAACGTCCATTGAATTTTAGATAAGATTTATATTACCACAATAATAGGGCTACAAATCCTACATTGTTCTTTTGACAAACGCACATGTACTTACAAATTGCCCCATTTATAAAGAGTAATGATGGGTGGGACGAAATCGGGAGGCGAATTTGGAGGATGACAAGTGATGGAGGATTCATGAATGTGGTGTAATTATTAATTTGACCCCTCCCATCACTTGTCGTCCCCCAAATTCGCCTCCCAATTTCATTCCCCCTATCATTACTCATTTATAAATATTAGAAAACACTCCATCTTCAAAAGTAGCAAGCATAATTTGTTAAAATTATTTGCACTTAAATAGTGTTGAAGAGATTTAAACTCACATTTTTAACCAATTGAGCTAACATCAATGAATTGCATGTCATTTCAGTTATTTTATAATATGCTTGGATTGAGAAAAATGGAAGAAAATAGAGAAAGGAAAATGTTTCCTCTATTTGGTTACTAGAAAAATTGAAGAGGAAGAGAGGTAAGAAAGCACTTTGTTTTATTTTTTTCCTTTTATTCATTTATTTATCTAAATGAGGAGACAGAATGGGAAGGAAATTGAGGGAAATGAAATGATAAAATATCTTTCCATTTAAATCCCTTCCTTCACCTCAAATGAAATACTATTAGAGAAAATGAAAGAAGTAGCACAACTAAAATAAAAATGGAGAGATCTCTCAAGCATCATTGTTTATTTTCAAGGTTAAAGACTTAAATTTCTATATTATTAATCAGTTAATCCTCTTATGTATAAAAAAATAACAAATAAAAATAGAGAGAGTAACCCTTTTTACAAATGACAACAAAGCATGTGTTTGGTTAACATAGGAAAAAAACAAAAAAGAAAAGAAAAAAAAATGATTTTTTTAGGGTCTAGAATTGATTAATGATTTTGAATTTGTGTTGAAAAATGTAAAAATTGACCTTCAATTAGAGGGTTTGTAACAAGTTAAAAATGTATTAGATATATCTTCTTTGTTAATTTAATTATATAAGAAAATATAAAATTAATTTTATTTTCAATATCATTGACACGTATAATTTTGAATGAACGATTGATAAAATTAAAATTGACTTTTATTTTTTCATAACAATTATTGAAAAAAAAAATACATTCTTAACTTGTGTTTTAAAGACATTAATTAAAAAAACCCTAATTTAAATTATGAATGTCATGCAAGTTTGTGGGATAAAAGACTGGGGGGATGGGAATTAAGGACCTTAAGATGTTTAATATTGCATTGCTAGGGAAATGGTGGGAGAGATTAGCAAATGAGAAATTAGGATTATGGAGTAGGGTGCTTAAAGAAAAATACGGAAGGGAGGAAGTAAACTAGATGGAATGGATGAGAGGGGGCCAAGAGAAGGGATCTAGGTGGTGGAAGGACATTTGCAAAATAAACAAGATGACTAAGGGGAAACGGGATTGGGTCAAATCTGGTTTTGAGATGGTTATAGGGGAAGGCACAAAGGTCTCTTTCTAGAAGGATAGGTGGACAAGGCCTTGTAGTTTAGATGAATTGTTTCCTCATTTATTTTCTCTTTCCATGGATCCTCAAGGCACCCTACAACAAATGGGAGAATGGGATGATGAAGCATGGAGATGGAGACTAAAATGAAGAAGAAGACTAATGGCATGGGAGTAAGATTAAGAAGCATAACTCCGAAACATAATCAACAATGTGTAACTTTGAAAAGATGCCAAAGATAGATGGTGGTGGAGACATGGAAAAGATGGCAAATACACAATACAATTAGCATACAAGTTACTAACAGCAACAATGGATAGAGGCAAGGACAAAAATCTCAAAAGCTATTGGAACCCAATAATCCCTATGAAGATTTGTGCTTTTAATTGGCTATCAATGATGGGATGTACACCTTGCAAGGAAAACTTACTGAAAAGAAATGTTATTAAGCAATAATCGAATGCCATGTGCAGCCTATGCGGGGCAACAACAAAAAATGAGAATCATCTGCTGTTATGGTGTGAGTTTTCAACAAAAATATGGAATAAAAATTATGCATGGTGGGGTTTCAAGCATGTCATGCCCAAAACTTGTAAGGAGGCTCACGTTCAACATGCCTGGGCAAGTGGAAATTAAAAAGGTTGGTAGGTGGTGTGGTCTGCCACAATATGGGCGTTATGGTTAGCACGAACCGTAAGACTTTCCAAGCAAAACAGGTGCCATTGATGAGGTATTTGAAATGATAAAGTGCAGTTCACACTGCTAGATTAAGAGCAGATTTGATGGCTGGTCATACGCTTACTCGGATTGGTGCAATAATCCTAGCAAATGCAGAGGCATAAAGTTTCAACATTAGTAAACACA